ATTTTTCGTAACTTCTATAAAAAGTATGTAAGTATGATCGAAAGTTTGTTTTGTTACGCAAGTAACATATAAGTTTAAGTTTTGTTCTGTTGTGAAACAGTTTTATAAAATGAAATTATTACATTCAGCCTGTTCTTTTAACACCCAGAACATTAGAAATGAAAGTAAAAATAATGAGAAAATCACTCCCGCTCTAATGTATCATTGCACGAAAAAAGTGTCAAATATTTTTTAGGACTGGGAACATCAGTCGATTTGCGGAAAGAAAGCCGATTACTGTCGGAGGACACAAATGCCGTTTGTGAAATGCAATGGACAGGAGGAGCGCATGCGCACAGAACCTGATATTTTTTGCTAAATATAGAATTGAAGTTTACAACAATTGTTAGCATAGGTGATTCATATAAAAGCTACGTAACCTTTAACATGTTAAAATGTGTGAAATAATAAAAATTGTGATAAACATCACCTACCGCTAAGAAAAGAATGTATTTTTTAGACGACCCTTAGTAAAAGCTGTTAATTTTAGAGCATATAAAGCGTGATAAAAGTTTAATTTTTGGTACTAGTGCAAAACTTGATTCGATACAGAAATGTTGAGGTAAAACCGTGAATACAAGAAAGAAAACAAAATACTTTGGTATCAACTACAACTGACCAAAATGTACATAGTGATTTTTGTGCTTGAAATAAAATAAACTGACGGAAATGTTGTAAAAGGTAGTGAACGACACAAGTGCTTTTATTTTGTTCGTAGTACTGTGCCAGTGGGTCTCTGTACCTCGACTTGCATCATCTCCTATTCGCAAAATAAAATGTCATTTTTACCATTCGTATCATAAATAACTGTTTTTCCGTCGGTGTATTTCTGCTTCTCAGGCTAGAATCTTCGAGCTTCAAAACCCCACCTGTGCAGACACAACGCGATTCCCCTCTTCGTGTGTGATATGCTGTGCCTTACCTTCTGTCGACAGACGAGAGCCAAGCGCGGAAACACTCTCGTGTAGAATCTCGCGCGAGTGTCAGGGCGGCGAGCGTCGAACCGGGCGCGGCGGCG